ATTGAATGTGAAGAGTGAAGTGAAGGTTCAAGGAAATTTCGTCCAAACGGTAAACGTTGTCCGATCGGGCTAAAAATGTACAGGGCTTATTTTTATGACCAACCTCGCCTGAAAAAATACTGCCGCATGTGAAATTCGAAAAAGTCCGAAAAAAAACCACCCTACTACAGATTGCCATCGTATCAATTTAGATGTGATAATTTGAATATTCAGCCGCTTTGGAGGCGGCGTATTTTTAATTTATGATCTCTTATTAGGAAATTTAATTAGCACGGCACTGAGAGAAAGAATCGTATATTTGAGACGAGTAGATAATAGGAACCAAAGAAATGTGAGAAATAGAGACTTAGTCAGAATTGAAACGTATGGCACGGACTATGCTCGTAACCAACCGTTTATCCTAGCGTGTAGATATTTTAACAAAGTAAGACAAGTGTTATGTGATTCGGCATCAAGACAAATATTTTGTACAAATGTGTTAAATTTAGACAAAAATGTATTCGAAGAATTGTATGTATAATGAGAAGCAGTGAACACAATCGGTGACCGCAGAGCGCCACTCCGAAGTCAATAGGGCTGGTGGCTAGGTGATCCGATTTGGGGTGTTTCATTATTTTTGTAAAATTATCAAATGTAAATGAATTATATGATATTATTATATATCAGTCTGTGATTAGACGGTAAAATAAATAATAATATTCTAGGGGGTAAGAACACAAGCGCTTGAGACGAATCCGTACGAATATTTGGGAATTTGTGTGATTGTGTATACGAGACATTCGCAGTGCAGTGAGTGTACAACAACAATAACAAAGCCACGAACGCATGAATATATGCGAATCTATGTTATATAAAAAATGTGAGGTTTCTGCAAGTTCATTGTATTTCGAGTTTTATGCGATTTTTCTCTATTCTATTTATAACAAATCATTTTTCTTTCGAATTTTTACTTTTAAGCGATGATTCCAATGTTTTGACACAATTTTTGATAAAATGGAACAAAAAAAATTTACACCGAGGGATAAAAGTTATTTCATGATTTTGCGCCGAGATAAATTTTCGAGGGGTAAATTAAGATTTATCCCTCGCGGGGCAATATTTATCCCTCGAGGTGTAAAAATTTACCTCTCACGGTGTAAAATTTACACATAGGTGTAAATATTTGACCTCTCGGTCCCAAAAATGTGTGAAAACATGATTTATAAAGATTGTAGTAAATGACATACATTTCTGATCGATCAGGCCATCAAACTGCGTATGATTTGGTCTTTATTCCAAAAAATAGTTTACCCCGGTGAACAAAAATTGACCATTTTTACCTCGGTGAACAAAAATCGGATAGATTTACCCCTCGGTGTAAAATTCATCCCGTTGAACAAAAATTGACCGTAAAACTATTAAGTTTTCTAGTCAAAATGCGAATATACTCTAGTCATTTTCGGATATTTTTATGATAAAAATATATTTCTTTCTGATCATATTTCGAAAAATTCTCTGTTAATTTTCGTTATTTTTCTGATCAAGTTTTGAAAAGAGTTTCTGATAATTTTAAATATACTTCTGATCATTGTACTTTTTTTCTGATCAATTTTGGAAAAAGCATTTCTGATCATTTTAGATATTTTTCGGCTAATTTCCAAATTTTTCTGATAATGAGCCTATTGATTTGTACCTACATAACGGATTAAAACGTGTTTGTTCGACTCAACAGTTTTATTTATTTTTATTTTTTTAATGAAAAATTATACCGTTTTTATTCCTAGCCAAAAAATAGTAATAACTAACTTCGGATAATTAAACGTGGTGGAAATGTTTTTAATGTTTTCAAAAGTGCAAAGAAAAAGAAAACTGGTGAAAACTTAACGTCTAAAATGATACAAAATAAATTGAAATGCGAACGAAATAAAATTTCAATGGCTGATTACATAATTGCTCCGGGTCCTTGACCATTCAGATCTGTTACTTGGCTGTTGTAGTGCAATGCATCTTCGTAGGCCTTTCGAACGGCTTTGCTTTGCTTTCTGCTCTCCGTTAACTTACTCTTGTCGCGCTGATCATTTACGCCCAATCTTTCCAATTTATTTGGTGGCAGCCATTGCCACGTGCGTTTTGCATCGAAAAATAGTACCAAGTATACCGGTTCGACTTTGTCTTTGCGTAGCTCGAGAACATCTCGTGGTGGCGTCGGCAATGGAACGCCATTGTAAATGAATCCTTTTGGGATAGTTGGATCGATAATTAGAGCTGGATAGGCCGGATAACCACGACACTTGGCCCACACCAATTGTAACGGCTCGTATCCCGTACCGTCTGATTGATTAACGTTCGCATAATGATTGGATATAGACTCAGATGAAGTATTATTCGAAGCACTTGCATTTGTTCCCGAACTGTCTTCGGATTTTTTTTTTGACGGCGACACATCCGTCGTCGACGGAGTGCCAAACGATTTTATCAGATTACTTTTCTCATTCTCTTCACGATCGTCACTCCCACTGAAGAAATCATCATCCTCATCGTCATAGCTTGAGCTGAAGGGAACACGAAACGTTGAACTTTGTTATTGAGCTCGAACCGCGAATTGAAAAATGGATAATAATTGATAGTTTACCCGAACTCAGAACCAGTGCAACTGCTACATTCGCACGAATGCGTGTAACTAACGTTTGAATCCTCTGAATCGGATGACTGTGCCAAACCTCGTCCACGGTATGTTCGAAAGCTGTCGGGCATAATGTTAGAAGGGACGTAGCGCTCTTTCAACGGTGAAACTTTCTTCTGACACCCACTGCTTCCAAGAGATGTTGAGCCACTTGTCGATGGTACGGCTAAAGAAGACGCACTTGGCGAGGTGTGTTTATTGTCGAAGGCACTCAATGTTGGTGTACTACTCGTTGAATCGGAAGCAAGTGGATTTCGACCTAGATGAAGAAAAAAAAATTGTTAGTCAAGAAAAAAATCTTCTATCGTTACGTTTTTAACTCACCAGTTGTTGCCTCCGGCTTCTTAATCGAAGCAGCCGCCTTTGCTTTCCGTGTGAATAAAACAGCAGTGCGTCGATTCACGCCCGATGGCGACGCACTGTTGCCAGCATTTTTGATTGGACTACATGATGGTGTGATTGGCTGTGTTTGTGATTCTTTATTCGCATCTTCCAGATCGTCGGACTGTGATGTATTGGCTGGTGATCGGGGCCGTTTCTTCGGTGTTCCGGTGGCTTTCGTTGGACTGCTTGAATTCGATTTGTCGCCACCTTTACTCGATTGCTTTTTCGCTCTCATAATTTCGGCTTTAACATTCTTAACACGTTTCTGTCGAACTAAACCATGTTTGATTCGCATCGTTTTCTTCATAAGCTCTTGCAATTTCGATATTAGTTCTTCGTACGGTAGATCTTGTTCAATCAATGCTACTAGCTCGGCATCGACTTCGTGCGCAATTGATTCATCTGATTGTGGTTTTTCAACGATGCCATCGCGAATCAATTCTTTCCGCACAGACTTAAACAGCGAAGCACATTGATCACGCATACGAACGCCGGCACGATAGAAGATTGTATCTTTGTTATTGTAGGCCAAACAGTTTTGTATCATCAAGTTGAAGTCATTTTCCATGTCGTCCAGCATTTCATATTTTCCTTCGCGCAGTTTCGATCGCATTGTGCTCAAATCCATCGGATGTGTAACAACATTCAGGTAATCAGGCACTTCCTCCACATCCACTGGCTCGGTGAAAATCTCTTGTATGTCTTTTGCAAAGATTGAGTCAAGCAGCCGCGACATGGCTTCCTCCAGCGGATTCAGTTGCATCAATATCGATTGTTCCACAGTTCGAATGTACAATGCCTTGAGCTTTTCACGTTTGCGAACCAATTCACAGAGTAGACGAGCTCGTTCCAGATCCTGTCGCAAGCATTGCCAGTATTTCAATTGTTGATTTAACTCGGATGCATTGGGCGATCCTTCGATTCCGCGATTTTGATGCATCGCACCTTGGCTTTGCAAACGTCGTAGCAACGGAACACCATTTCGGTGCTGCCGTTTCAGTGTCCAGTAGGCGATGAGTCGTTGAATAAACTGTGATTTCTTATGGAAATGGACCAACGATGTGATCTGCTGCACGCGATCAGGTGGAATTGTCGGCACCAATATGATGGGCACACTCTCTCGTTTCATGGCTAACGTTTTGCGAGCTTGCTTCATTTTGATGCGAGATTGTTGTCGCAGTCGTTCCGCTTCTGCGCTCGATAAATTCATGCTATCATTTCCACCCGTAACGGCTGGACAATGCGCATCGCAATAGGCAATCTTTTGCACAGTCACTGGACTCGATTCGTCGGATGTTGATTTTACAGTGTCCATGTGCATGTATAATCCTGCAAAATGATTTAAGCATCATTGCAATAGTATCAAACAGTGGCCAATGAAATTAAAGTCTATACAATGATCAAAAAAATTCGCAACAAACCTGCTTGTTGGGCACAAGTAACGTGGAAAGCAGCATAACAACTATTTCGCTGGCACTGAATACAGGCTCCAACTTTTTGCTTACAAATGTAGCATGTAAGACGCCAACGCGCCGGAGGAATCGTTTCGATGGAGTCTATCGGTTCTAGAAAAACTGTGTTTGCAAATCGAACTTCAGGTATCCAAAGTGCACAGACAACGTGAGCCCACTGATTCCGATCGGTTTGCTTGAATGCACCGCCTGTATTTGGACACAATACACAATCAACAGGTCGACTTGGACTCTGCAAACAACGTCGACACAACCATTGACCTTCGGGAATGTAGGGTACGCCATAGCAGTCTTGATGCACGGCCAAATTACCTGTTGATGATAGGAATTATATAAAATGAGAATGTTCGTATTTTGCGCAGAAAATGCAGATATAGCAAAATGAAGGTGATACAAATACTCACATCTGTCACAAAATAATATGAAATTGGTGTTAGTAGCATCGCCTGAAAAAAAATGAAATCAACATTAGATTTCATAACGTAAGCTCAACACTTATGCATAAAATTGATGTTTCTTTGAAGTTTTAAAATGCTCCACTTCAACAACTGGAATCTTACCGTCCAAACAGATACAACACACAGCATCTGCATCAACAACAGCTCCGCCTTGCTCGTTTGTCGTTTGAAAATACGATTCTTTTTCTAAACGATCCATCAGCAATTCGAGTGTGTCAATGGAAACTGCACTCAATCCATTCTCCGCGCGTTCATTATTCATTCGTTCAAGCCAAATGGCATCTTCTTCATCCACATCATATTCAATTTCACCGTCCAATTCTTCCGGACTTTTTTCAATGAATCTACGAATTGTTCAAGAAAAAAAAATCGCATCATTACTGACTGAGGCCAAACAAGGTATTTCTTTTTTTATCTTCAAAGTTTCACAAACATACCTGATATACGCGTTTGGTCTTTGCGGTGCATCGCAAATCGAGTAATTTTCCACTTTATTGAAATTGGCTTCGGGTAGTTTGATATGTGGCTCCGGTTCGGGTTCAATGAATGGTGGTGCTTCGCCTTTTTCAACCAATTTTTCATATTCCTCCGGTTCAATCATTGGAATCGGTTCGATGGTAGACACTTTAATACTTTTTGCATCGATTTCGAATTGAACAACATGTTGCGCTTCCAAGTAGGTCAATCCCTCTTTCGGTGAACCAAAATTGGCCAAACCACCGCCACCAGGCGTTGTAGCGTTCGGCGAAGTGAAACTTTTTTGTTTTCTGGCCGGCGTTCGAGCTGGCGTAATTTGCTGCCTCGTATCATGATCATAGTTCACCAAATGATATTGCAAACCATAAATAGATTTGTACGATTTGCTGCATTTTTCCACTGGACACTTGTATGGCGATGGTGCTCGCGCCAGTGTTCGACAATAGTCGATTGGATCAAAATCTAAACCCATTCTTTTCACGTTCCGCACAAAATATTCACGACAAAACACACTTTAATAATTGAATGTCCACAAATTCCACTCGAAAATAATGTTTATGCTTGATTTTAAATTCATTTTATGCGATTGCGATACTTTCAATCGCGGCATAAGTTGTTTACTCTGACAGATGACAGCTGCGAAGCAATGTTTATGTATTGAGGTACTAGATTTTCAATATACTCTCTCGCGCGAAGAGAATAACAATGGAAAAAAGAGAGTATCGACATTTGACAGTGCAGGTTAATGTGACAGAATGGTGTAAATTTAATGCACTGAAAATAACACGACATTTCGAGTGCAGAAGCTGTGAGAATGTTGTGTAAAATAGAAAAAAATCAAAACTAATTTATTTTCGTCACTTTTGAAGTGCATTCATAAGTGAAAATTCGTCTATTTCCCTTCATATTTTCAAGTATTCCTATTTATTAACTGGTGTGAATGAGTGATTTTGTTTTGTGCGTGAAAGTAAAATCAATATTTGTTGCCCGCAAGGAAATTACATAAAATTTGTGGTTTTCACTGCAATTACATTAATTGCGCGAGCTCTGTAACAATCGTAGAAAATTTGCTTTGCAACAAGTCTCCATTGTAATGGATGGAAATAAGGATGAGGCCCAGCGATGCATAAATATTGCACTCGATGCAGCAAAATCAGGCAATTTACAGCGGGCCGAAAAGTTTTTGCGAAAGGCCGACAATTTGTATCCATCTCAAAAGGCCAAAGGTAAAGCACTCGACGAAAATGTAGCGAAGGTCATTGTCTTAATGTGAACTTGTTTTTTTTTCTCGACCAGATCTTCTAGCTCAAATCCAATCGAGAGAATCGGAAACCAAGGACACAGCCGATGGTGTACGAAAACGTAATACGAATTCAAATAGTGAAAGTTCTCAGGCAAAGCGTAATGAGGCAGCATCCAGTGAATATACCAAAGAGCAGTCTGAATTGTGCGAGCGAATTCTACGGTGCAAAGATTATTACGAAGTGTTGCGTGTCACGAAAGACGCTACTGACACGGAAATCAAACGATCTTACAAAAAATTAGCATTACAATTGCATCCCGATAAGAATCGTGCACCGAGAGCTGTTGAAGCATTCAAAGCATTAGGGACTGCTGCCGGTTGTCTAACCGATCCGGAGAAGAGAAAACATTACGATCTGTTTGGAAATAAACCAGATAAAATTCCGAAACGACACTACCATCAAAATCATGAGTACGAGCATGCCTATCGCACGGGATTCGATTCCGATTTCACTGCCGAAGAATTATTCAACATGTTTTTTGGTAATGGCTTTCCACAAACGAGAACCACAAGCAATAGACAGTATGCTTCACGACGTGACACACAGGTGAAGTGCCAAACATTTTGGAAACGATGCAAATTTGAATGCATTTTTGATTTTTTTTTCTCTTGGATAATTTCAGCAACAACAATATCATCAAAATCATCAGCAGCAACCAAGTCTTGCTTTTGGTTTAATACTTGTGTTGGTATTAATTTCAATGTTGGCATCGTTTTTTACATCGGATCCCGTTTATAGTTTGTCACCCACCTCGTAAGAAACATTTCAATGTGAATTGAATCGAAGGCGGTTAGTGGTCAGAGCAGCTATTCAATGTGTTTTTGTAAATTTCAGGAAGTATTCAATTGTGCAGCGCACTCATCACCTGAATGTGCCATATTATGTTCGGGACACGTTTAAAAAGGAGTACCAAGGCTCATTGCATCGATTAGAAAACACTATTGAGGAAGAATATATAATGGTTATGAAGCAAAATTGTATGCGTGAACGTAGCTACCGTGAGTGTTGATACTGACACATGAAAAATTGAAGGAACATTTCTGGACTGTGTTACATTTTGCGTGTATTTTATTGTTTAGGTGACCTTATGATAGCACGTGCCCGAAGCTTCGGCGGTGCAAGTCAAATGGAGCAAGCCAAAGCGTTAAAGGTGACATCGTGTGATAATTTAGCTCGCCTTGGCCTCACAAAGTACATATATTGAACAAGCTACTACCCAAGCTAGAAGACGGAAGCTGATGCAATTTGGCGTGATAATGCACCGGCACACACACACACCACGATTAGATGGTTGTTTTCGTGTATTGTTGTTTATATATTTATCTTTTATTCATCCATACAGGTTATTTGAACAATCGAACAATAGATGACCGAACCAAACAAAACGTAGCTCCGTTTCGAACCGAAAACTTAAATCTTACAAATATTCTGTAATTATTTTGGAACAATAGAGTTTTACCCATAGTATTTTATTTGTTTTCTAATCGAGCTAGATCCTCGTGTGATTCAATTTTTCTTTTTTTTTCACCTATTTATCCAATACCTGAGTTGTATTTAATGACATCATTTTGAGTGTGATTAAACCATTGGCTTTTTTGAACGAAATTGATCTAGTTAGGAATTTTTAAACCATTCCCGTTGCCATATCAAGATTGCTTTTAAATTCAAAATGTGCGAGTTTTTTCTTTAATAGAATAACTGGGAAAGGGAAACAAATTATATGCCAAATATACATTTATCATTTTAAAACAACATTTCAAAGTTCAGCCTTACCTCCATAAAATCCACTTTGCTTCACAAATCAAAAGGAAAAATCAATCGATTTGAAATTTAACTGATTGTGATTTGCAACAATTTTTCAACTTACAGTTTAAATAAATAAAGCATTTCCCGTTATTTTTTTTCAATAACACCCATTTCCAAATCTATCCAATTGATTCCATTTTTAAAACATCTCTCTGAGTTCCGTCACATGGAATGTACGCGTGACGGCATATTTTCACACGGAACTTCGTTCCCAGTGCGCCGAGCACTTGCTATATATAGAGCGAACGTTTTCGAATATTAGAAACCACACGTTATTATATGTAGCAAGTGCTCGGGGCATTGGGAACGAAGTTCCGTGTAAAAATATGCCGTCACACGTATCATTCCATGTGATGAAACTCAGAGAGATAGCTAACTTTCTCAAAACTTCATTCCGGAACCATGTTAATGCGTTTCTAGTAAAATTTAAACTCAGACTCCTTCGCTGAAACCAAACTATCGTATGAACGAAATGGTGATTTGAATCCAAATTTTGATACGAACAAAAATATGAATGTTTTTTCCCCTATGTTAGCTTAATTTAAATAAAGAAATGTTGACCCATTTTGTTATTTCAAAAATGCACCAAATAAATAGATAACGAAAAGTATGTTTGCATTTTTCATTGAAAAATATTTCTAATCTATTCAGCTTCGATGTCGATTTCATTTCCATCATCGCTGCTGCAGCTATCACTCTCCGCGCTACTGCCACAGGGAATGTCTTGATCTATGCCGTCCTCCTTATTTTCAGTTTTGCCAGCACGATTCTTATCCACCTTTGTTTCTTGCCTCGAATGCCGCCACTTCATAAAAAATAGAAAATGAGTAAGATAAAAAATTACCTTCATTCAAAAGTACCTTAAAATAAAAATGAGTAAGTACCTTCATACGTCGGTTTTGGAACCAGACTTTCACCTACGAAATATGTATCTCAGATTGAATTTCGAAGCGAATATTCGTTTTATTTGATCATCAGAAGTTAACAATATTATTAACATTGCAACGTACTATTAATAACACCTTACCTGCGCATCAGTTAATCCTAACCGGGCTGCTAATTTCCGCCGATCTGGTTTGGTGATGTATTTCTGTATTTGAAATGAATGGCATTTATACAGACAATTGGCATTATTCATAATAAAAATGGATAAATTGCAACGGATTGCCTGATATTAGATTTTTTTTAGAGTGGTATTTAAGCACAAGAACAAATCGAATTGCTTGGGCAAATGATCGTTGTAGAAGACCACACGTTAGTGTTTTTTCTACAGCTTCACACCCGATACGACGATCAATTCGCCGTAAAGATATTGCCAATTCTCACTTTCAATTTATTGCCTTGATCCGAATCATTTCTGATTAGTTAATAATAATACTTGCAATGAGTCTTTGTTTTACGGTTTAGTTGTGTTTTATGCCATTTTAAACAATTATTTGTACAAGAATTTACCTGTATTTGGAATTGAATTTCCAAACCTTTACGTTGGAGTTGGCTGAAAACTGCGCGAGACCAAGATCGTTTACGCTTTGATTGACTCAACGCTGCTGTATTGTTTATTGATGATGCACATGGTGCTGGAATTGCTGTAATTTTCGGATTAGTTGGATCCACGAGGCAATCGGCACGATGATGAGAACTTTGGAAATGTGAAAATGAAACAGCAGTTGGTAGCAAAAACCGATCTACACTGAAACTCGGACTGAATGACGTGGGCGGAAGCGGTGCACCGTGGAAATTTGGAATTGGATATTTTATGTGGCGATGCAGGGGCAAAGGTGCACTATTCATAGGGAAACCTGAAAGATTTTGTAAGTACAAATAGAGCGGCTAAATTTCGCTGTTCTTTTTTTCTTGAAATATCAAGTATAAATGGACGTGTTGATATTTAACTCGAAAAAACAAACATAACATAAAACCGAATCAACATCAGCCCATAAAAAAAATATTACTCAAATAATGAATTGTTTAAGCCAAACAAATCCTCCGAAAATAATGATTAACCGCAATGATACTGTTGCCACAAAATAGCTCTTCGAAGCGAACAAAAAAGCGTATTTGAATTTACAAAAGGGTGCGAATGATAGAATCAACAACATTTCTCCATACAACACATTTTTTATCCAGACGGTTTCAAATTCGCTTTACATAAACATATCTGTATCTCTAGGACATTTTTCATTTTCCAAATAAATCCTTGAAATTGGAGAGATAGAGAAAAAATGAAGCCACGCATTTTTCGCTCACATGAAATTGTAAAAATTGAATCGGATAAAAAGCCGAAAACAAATAATAAAATCATCAATCAATTAACGAATCTAATTTTTGGAATGCGTATGGGTTAATTGGTGGGTATAATGTTATAAATTTTCGTGGTAAAATGAACAGGAAATCGATTATTATTATGAGTTTGTTTATTTAAGCAGAGACATATTGATACGCATCTCTCATTCACCACTTGTACGAACATTTGTTTAGCATCATTCAAGCGATTTACACAAGCGATATGTTTTCCTCATTCACTCAAATCGCGGGTCGCATCGCATCATAGACCAATCACGATTGTTTACAAAGTAGAAGTCTTGAAACCAATTGGATTGTGTGTAAAACAAACCGAAATACGCGATTTACATAAACAAATATGGTCGAATGAAATTATGAGTCTGGTGTAAGAGGCCAATATATTTTCTGGATTTTCTTACGCTTGTTCTTCTACCGGGAAATTTATGGGTTTTAAAAGAGAAGTCATTATCCTTTACCGTGATAAACTGCAGTAGGATTGGACACGTATCGCATGGGCATCGGCCGATAAATTCGACTACAATCTTCGGGAATGGCTGATTTTTGCGGAGAATGCCCTCTTTCCAACGATTTTTGATCAACATTTTCGATATCACATTTCTTTGTGCAACTTGAACCATTCAAAATACTTTCGACGCTAAAATTTATGGCAGCACTACTTTTGATAGTTTCCATCGGTCCACTAGAATGTGAGTCATTTGAATGTGTATCACTTGAATGTTTGTCCATGTTTTGCTCACTGTTTTGAAACTTTAGTCTCAACTCATCGATTTGTTTCCACTGTGTAGTAATTTCGTTATTTTCTTGAATCATTGTTTGTTGTTTCTCCGTAAGTTGATCATTTTTCAAATTGTTATTTCTATCATCAGTCACTAACTGTTCATCTGCCTTTGAGCACAGTGCGAATTTCTTCGAATGCACATTCATTTCCATATCTTTAAGTCGACGGTAAACGAATTTATCTTTCTTATTTGTACCATCCACTGGAATCATTTATCATCAATCGGCTTGATTTCAAATGTGTAAACAAAATGTAGATCAGGCGCTATACACACCAATTTAACATATCGATTTCCCGGTGTGCGTACTCACATCAATTATCGATTTTTAGCGTTAGGATCGAAAATCCAATAACGATCGCTTCTCTTAATTAGAAATAGTTTACATTCCAATATGGGATGAAGTTTTATTTATCGATATGAATAGTTTGTTTACATAATAAACTAATGAATGGATTTTCTGATTTCAATTGTTTGTCGATCAACACTTTTAACTTTCAATTGAATCAATTCAAAACTGGTACTGAATGCTCATGTTATGTGTTGAAGTAGAAAACGAATAAAGTTCTGACTTTAAAGTTCAGTTGATAGCGAAGCAAAATTTATCGTTCTAAGCTTAGAGTAATTATTATTACACTTTTTTCGATTTAAAAAATAAATTCGCTAAAAAAATGAATTAAAATCTTAATTCTACAGAAGAACTGCAATGTTCACAAAAATAATCCTATCGATTCTATGTTCCAATAACTAGCTTGTGTCCCGAAATGATCGAGCGATTCATCGGAATTCAAATATCAAACTGAGCAGTTGCTGAGATTTTCTGCCGCACTGAAGCAGGCTCGATCATTTTGCTTTGTGTTCACTTTGCTTGGAATCGTGTGTGAATGGATTGAAGAGAAAAGTAGGAGGAGACTCGACGGCTATTGGTTGAATGATCAAGCGGAGTTAAACGTTTTAGCGTGATAACAAACACTGTTCTAGTCACTTGTGAACGATGTGTGTGCGAAGTGAAAATGCAACAGTTTTTGTGGGCAATTAGCAGAATCAAATAAAATAAATCTCAATGAGATTGAAGTTATGGTTTGCTTACATTTAAATGAAACGAACATGAATGAATTGACCGGACAGTTTGCCCAACAACAGCAACAGGATTTGCATTGACCCAGTCTAATTCGATTCGATTGATACTTGTGTTCGGTTATAATTCACGGTGGAAATTCATTTGGTTCGAACGGCGCCTTATTTACGACTTGAGATCATCGGAAATATGTTAACATGACAATAAAGCTAATTGGATTCATATTGACATCCGCGGCCAGCCGTCTTCGAGCGTAAAAGGAAGTCGCGTAGAATCTGTGCACAGCAAAGAATATAATATTCTTGTCTCGGATATTGGGAAAATTTATGATCTGTTATTCGTAGTCTACTTTGAAACCAGTTTTGTAAGCCAAAGGAAACTCGAATAATTCAATGCTTTTTTTCGGCAATAATTTAATTTCAATTAAAGAAATCAATTGAACCACGGCTATTTTTATGAGGCCATTTAATTCGAAAAAAATGGCACTTATTTCACAATCTGCGTGATAACTATGAACGAAATGTCGTCGATTGAAATATGTTCATGATTTTGGTTGGTGTGCGTTCCAGCCCATGATTTCGTTTAATTTCCATACAATGTTTGGGGCTGGCAATAAATCCGAGATTTATTTACATTCAACATTTAATTTAATGCATTGCATTTCATTTTTATTATGATCATTGTGATTGGCGATTGGTGTATCTGAACCTGCGCTCGCCAAACGCATTTCATGTTGATGAGCAAAGTGTGTGTGTTGCTGCATATGTATTTATATACCTATGTGTGAGTGGGTATGATTAATTATCGAGTTGAATCATTTTCATTTGAGATAATCGCATGCATCTATGTTGATGTCCGAGTGGAAAACTACGGTTAAATGGTTTTTTATGTGTCGGTTACGTGTTATTTTAAAAGGTGAGCAACAGATACATATCTCTGATTCTGATGCGTTAGTGCGCAGCTCTTGTGGCCACATACCGTTCATTATCTGGCTGATGCACGAAATCAAAACCATTTAACGCGCATACAAAAAAAAACGAACAGACGAACGAACGAATGAAGCGAATCGCAATGTCGGCAAATCGTTGCCAGCCCAGTAGAGAGTTTTGCATTCGGCAGGAACAACAAAAGCAAAAATTATGAACATAATTCGCATTGTAAGCGGACACTAAATGCTTTATTTTGATTGTGTTTAATATTACATGTAATTACATTATATCACAGCGTCAGTTTATTTTATACGAAGTTTTATTTATGTGTCACATTTATTCGAATATATTCGTGGTGGACTGGCGAGTCGGGTGGCAAGAAAAACGTACAAACTCATAAGAAAAATAAGCACTGTGCATTTTTTCATTCATCACGGAATCAGCGCTGTACCAGAGAGTTACGTTTGATTTTCGATTTGGACAAAGATTTGTAAATTCGATAACGAATCGTCGATTTCGTGCTTTTCGTTTTGCTGCCCCCATTATTTATGGCTTCAAGTATGCGCGATTACAATTTTATTTGTTCGAGTTTTATTAACGAATATCGCGATTCGATAAAGTTCATCTCAATGAGATCAAATCAATAGATTTTTCGCTCTTTCTCTCAGAACATTTTAATTCCGTTTGGATGGAATATGTTGGACTTAAAATTCGGGCACCAAATCGATAATGAAATAAAACGCAAAATGATCCTGCTGACAGAAACTTGCTTCATTCGTATTTTCGCCTTGTGCTTTTGCACCAAACGCTCTGTGCACAGCACACTGTATCGATCAGTCGGAGGATGTTTTATACGAAGCAAGCGCACAGATTTGTGAAGTGCGTGTGCCACCCGCTAGGACAATTTGACATGTTTATTAACAATTTCACACAATTTGGCAGCCAACAACAAGGCAGCTCCAAAGTAGTACGATACAATGAATACGCGCATCGCCGATGCAATAAAGCATCTACGCGGAAACCACAATCCAGCATCAGCAGTTTCGATATCATTCATAACAAACTAATAGCAAGCGTGTATACAACAAAATGTTGCTCTCTCTTCTCACTGCGTGTGCGACTTAAACATCAACAGCACATTGGGAGCCAACAGTGGGTCTCGTTTGCAGTTTGCTTTGCTTCTCATTTCAACATTTAAAACTTCTTGTAGGGAAAAGCAGCGACCAACGAACACGGCCGACGTACAATCAAACCGACAGCATTATGAGAATCAGTGAATTGCGCTACACGCGTTAATCGCACACCCAACGAGTAATGAGAACGCTTACAGCATAAATAATTAATGACGGCTTTGATTATCACTTCGAATGTACAGAAAGTTTATATATTTACAACGAATAATACAGTGCAACTGACGCATGTACTATGAACTATGAGCGTGGTGTTAAATCCTTTCCATCAACCAAGAGATGTCCATTCTGAATTTATTAATTGAGAACATCCGGAAGAACGCAATTTTTTGTCGATCAGCGAAATGATTTTCGATATGCTATTTATTACCCGTAACAAATGCTATCAAAATCTGTTTTCAAATATATTTGGTCACTTTGAAACACGACTAAATGTTCTTTTCTCATTACATTTATTATTTTCACTGTATATAGGTGCGCTATAGCTATTCTATAGGGCATATCTAATATTTCTATATTATCTAGTATGGACATTAGACATTTCATTCAAAGATAGTAGGTATGAAAACGAAATTAAGCACCATCTGTATTATGTTTCCAAGTCCAAAATGTATTTCATGGTCTTTATGAGTTTTGTCAACATTTAGGACTTGGAAACATAATACAGTCAGAAGAAATTCTTATAATCTGAAAATATAAAAGAGAAATGGATTATTGTTCACTTTTCAATCTAATTTCTTTCCGAAGAAACCTTTTTGAAAACATCTCGAGTGCAATGATAGCCAGAGAATCCTTGGATGAACCGTTTTTGCTGGCTGGTAGCAAGCGCTATTGGTAAACTTTTCTGCATACGCAATGGAAAATGGTACCAAAGTATACCAATGGCCACCGCAGATGGGATTGACACTTGTATTATATGGACGAAATTTCCAGTCTCGAGTAGCTAGAAATGTGAAAAAATTGTGAATTGGCATTGATTTAATATTCATTGCTGAGTTAACCACTTGCATTTGCAGAAACAGACTGCCAAATGTAGGCAGGGCAAGTTTTCAGTGGTGTGACTATGAAACCAGATATCACAAATTGGTCAGGCGGGATCGAAAGCAATTGCAATTACCTACAATTTAAGATATTTATCCTTCCAATAGCCCGAACCAATTCCGAGAACGGCACAAAAATCTGTTAACAAAAACACTCAGCAAAAGTTACTCATATAAAATCTTGAAGTCGTTTTCAGTGTAATCGAGAGATGATCACATTACGAAAATAAAACGCTACAAATGAGGCAATTTGCATTGGGCATAGAGTGGTAATGTGTCTACAATTATTTTCGGGCCACTATAATTAATTCTTGGTTACTGCAATTATTTAAACACGTTTTATAGCATTTTATAGCAGTTTTATTCCCATATTAAATGATAAACGCTCCTGGAGCCTGAAGTTGTTGAAATCATCAAGAATCGGATGACTGATTTGAATTCTACAATTTATCTACAATTTGTTCCTACTTTGTTTTTTTAATGAAAAAAACTTCAACATATTGAGAGAACAAAATTTTGCGATGAAAGAACCAAACAATCGATAGTATGAATCGATGTCCAAACATCATACACTTTAAAGGTTTGTGAACCTGACCATTCGGGGCCCTTAGATTTCGTCCGATAGAGTTCCTTAAAGTTTATAGTCTGTATATATTTGCTTATGAAATCAAAAAGAAAGAAACACTTGGAGGAAATGAGAAAAATCACGCTATTCGCATAATTTTTTTTTTGTGATTAATATGTTCCAACTTTTGAATGTTTCCATTCCCTTTTAGAGTAAAAATACTCGTGCTTAGACTCGAAGGACAATTGTAGAGTCGAAGGCATTTTCCTAGAATTACGAATCTGTTTGATTCAACTGTCATCGGAATTCCTTAGTAACTATACGTAGAGTATAGAATAGTATGAATCTGAAAGCAGAAAAATGATATTAGTTGTTCGTCCCAATATTTGTCTTTTGCGAAAACCTTTTTGAACGTTTTTCGTATGCATCGGGTTCCTCTGAGTCCTCGGGTGTACATTTTTTTCTGGCTTAAATCAAGCAGTATTTGCATTTAACCAACTCTCTTTTGATGAATATTTTCGCCTTATTTTGTTGATTCCAGAAGGAAGTCATCACTTTTTGCGTTTTTTCATGGTTGCTCGGATGCATGGCAGCTAAATTGGTGATGTGAGCGGCTGAATCTAATTTGTCCAAACACTGGTTCGGACATAGAAATATGTTTACCCAGATGTTCTATACTGTATGAATATCCAAAGCATTGACGCGTACGGACGATCGTGCGACGAACATATCAACAGAGCCATCTTTGTTTGATGTGTACTGTATTCATACACACACTTATGCGTACGTCTCGCAATGCACGGTCGACGCACGCATCTATGCTTTGCATATTTATCTTGCATATTTCTATGTCCGAACCGGTGCTTGAATTTGTCCAGATGATTTCTCGATATCTTGATTCGTTTTAGAGTTAAAGCGCCAAAACCAACCACCTTGTTAATGACTTTCTTCGCTTTATCTTGATCATCATTTTTGGCGTTTTTTTCACATGATTTTCACATGAATGTATGGATCTCTTTTTCCGAAAATGTGGATGAACTAATCAAAAGAGAGGAAAAATATTCGATTTTTTATTTTTTGTTTTGTACTAGAGTTTTTTTTCAGATAATATTCGGCTTTTCTAAAAACAAAGTTACCAAATTTGAAATTGGTCGTGCCGTGATTTAAATTTGATGATTAGAATTTTTTCACTCTCATGTTCAAGGCAATGTCGCATGCAATAAGTCGAAGTAACTGTAATTTTTTTTCTTAACCCATAAATGAAAAAGGAATTTTATACAAAATTGAACAAACAACTGAGATTCAATACAAACATCATTAATATGAAAATAAAGAAGTAAATGGCACAGGGAGTTAGCAAGACGCACGTTATAAGGTTTTTGACTTCGATTTCGAGGAGTAAGAGAGATGGATATATAAAACTTGTATTCACCATCTCTTTCGATGGAAATCCAAAACCTTATAATGTGCGTCTTGCTAACTCCCTGTGGTAAATGGTTTAAGAACTGTCCAGTTGGCAGCTGCTGGTTTCGATGCGTTCAACTAGTTTTACCTTTCATATGTGTTCGTGAGAAATATTCTTGACGCTAACGCATAAAAGAATGTTCATGTAACGACGAGAGACCATTCCATTTTGGATTGTCGTGATACAAAGTTCATAGTTACTATCGTTGTGAAGAATTGAAATCGTGTATTTTGGTTAAACATAACGGATTATCGAAAGGCAATGGATTCTAAACTGATAATCACTTGTGAGTACTGTAACTTTTTATTGTAAAATATGTGAACATCGATTTATTATAATAATAAAAAAATCTCGTGATCCAATATAATCAGATGTATATGTATTTTACATGGACAATCGAATTAATAGAAGTCAAAATTTCTAGTGAATATGTTTAACGTTGTAAGTAGCAAAACTGGGCGATCCACATTTGAGTAAAACGTTTTGTGTTATCGCTGCTCTATTTAACTAGGTTTCTCACCGCGATTTTGGGCCAGTTTCACTTCAAGCTATTTTTTGATTTTCAAACCAATTTAGTTGTATTTTTTGATTGTATTTCAGCGAGTTATTCAATTCAAATAGAACATATGAAATCATAACAAAAGGTTGTTGACATGAAAACGCGATAGGGAAGATTGAACTTTGAAATGAATGAATGAAGAATCTTCAGACCTTCATTTTGGTCTAGCACAAAAAAAAACAATTACCTTAAAAATGATAAGCTTATTGGTGATAAAGAGGAAGAAGCATCGAAACGTTTGTATATGCGACCGACCAGTTTCAGAACCGGTGTCATTCAAATGATCATTCGATAATGGTGTTGAGAACGAGAATAAGAGTTCTTCGTTTCTCGTCCATTCCTCTTTCTCTCTTACTTGTTCACAAAATCAAACACCGTTATACATATGAATATTTCATTGCATGAATATCAGCAGAAAGAAGGAACATACCAAAAGTATTCGCTGCTGTGTAAACAAAACTTCCGATGATGTTGCCTGTAATAGTAAAGCTCTTTGCATTACGTTGAATCAACTTTGTGAGAAGAACCTGAAATACGATGGCTATAACTATAGAGTGGAATATAGTTCAACTATAGCTTGCTAACTCTTGCTAAAAAATACGCAAAAAAACATTCATTCATTCCATTGATATAGAACAGTGTGATTGAGATTCAATTTGACTTCACTATAGTAGAACATTCACAATTCGTATATGAATAGGAATAAGTATGTTTTATTTCACGCATAGCACATAAATAGTAACTCATTTTGTTTTGCATAAAATGTAGGTATTTTGATTGTGTGCTTATCGTTTGGTGTTGGTGGTACGCCACCCCGAGACTCACGCGATATTCATAACAAAGAGATCGTTGGCCAAGCATCCAATATCATCACATCGAAACTGCTGAAAGGTAGTATCGATAGCAACAAAAACAGCGTTTTTTCACCATTCGGCTATGCAACCATACTGGCCATTTTGGAAGAAGGTGCTACCGATGATACACAAAATGATATTAAAGCCGTTCTAAAGCATCCCAATGATCGAGCACTCATTCGAGGTGCATATCGATCAGTTTTGTCACATTTTCAAGGCTTAGATCCAGAAATAGCCCCTCAATTCCGCACCTGGTTCTATATATACAAAAACAACACGGCTGATGAATCTTTCAAACAAATACTGCAAAAAGATTACTACGTCACTGTGAAAGATGTGGAGCCATTGAATTTCGATGAAGAGGAAGCAACACAACCAATTTCCAAACCAGCCGAAGAACAAGATGCATCCAAGACATCGGATGAACAAGTTACACCAACCAATAGTAAAGACGTCGTTGAATTTGATTCATACAAAATGGAAGGTGGCTCATTTGATGAAACGCGAATCGACGGCCAAAAAGATGCATCGAAATTTGACGAAGTGGTTGAAGATCGACAATATGTTGAGGTTCCGGTTATTAAAAACGAATTGCAACAAATAACCAAAAATGAAGAAGGAGAAAATGCAAAATCTGAAGAAGCCATTTCATCGTCAAATAAGGAGGCGCAAGAAAAGATAATGCATTTGCCTTTCAAACAATACGAAGAAATGGAAATCATGCAAGCCGAAGAGAGTCGTTCAGGCAAAGCTGTAAGTAATTAATGTCGTTTAATTATAAAAGCTATAGAAATATTTCAAAATTGAATTTCTTTTGTTTTATTCGAAGTTTGGCGGAAAATACGGCGAAGGCGCTTCAATTATTAGTGGCAACTCAATCGTTGGTGAAAAAGAGAATTTCACGGAAAAGGACACATACAAATTCGAACCGAAAATGTTGCTATTCAACGGATTGTATTACCATGGACAATGGGCCACTCCATTCCAAGTAATTTGTTGGACGTTTCTTTCTTTCTGTAAATGATCAAATTGATTGGTTAACATTTTTTTTTTAACAGAATTTGCGAGATGAAAACATTCAAAATATATTCTATTCGTTGGATGATGAGAAAGTGCCGATAAAAATGATGCGAGCTCATGGATACTTCCGAACGGGAATTGTTCCAAAGTACAACAGTGAAGCCATCGAACTTCCATACGATGTAAGCCATTGATTGAAGTGTTTTTAATTTACCAGTGATCCATTGGTAAAGATCAATAAAGATTTATATTTATTTTTTATTTTTTTATTTTTTTAGAACATTCGATACTCCATGCTGCTGATAATGCCACAAGGTCCAGACGGTTTGAAAAAACTGATTGACGAATTCAATACAAATAGTATAAACGAAATTTCAACTGGTTTACAAGAAGAATTGATCAATATTGCTATACCGAAATTCGAAGTGCAAACAAATAATGGTGCAGAAAAGGTTTTGGTCAAAGAAGGTTTAGCGTCATTGTTCACATCAAAAGCGGATCTCAGCGGCATATCCAAAGCGCAAAAACTGCGCGTCGGCGAACTTCAGCAACACGTTGTACTCACTGTTGATGAACTCTCGACCGCCGAAAACTTTATGACCGCATCGAATGTAGTACGAACAGAAGCGCCAGCAAACGAACGCTCCGTTATCATTAACCGACCGTTCTTGTTCTTTATTCGCGATCGCATTGATGATGTCACCATCATTGCAGGCAAAATCACATCATTGGAAGCTTTTGCCATGGACGAACCCCAACTACCCAATAACTAATCTTCAACTTATATTTATAACTTTGTGATAAGGAAGGTTTAAACGGTCAATTATTTTTATCTCCTAAGTTTAATCCAAGCAAATGAATTGAATTTACTTTAATAATATATAACTTCATTCGATATTACAGATACTTAAAACAAAATGTAATGACAAGTTGAATAAATGAATACGACATTTAATTCCAAATTTCACTCTGATTCGCTGAGAATTTGATGCAAATGATACCAAAATCAGTGTTTGCACCAACACTTTGTTTCGAAATATTAACGTGTTACAAACAATGCAGATTTTTCGTTCGAATTCAAATGTTCAAAAATATCTCAAAATCGTGTGCAACACTTTGTACTTAAGCATTCAAGTAGTTCTGACATCCCGCGCTATAGTGCATAGAACTCCAAGCCGCATTCATCATCGCATCATTGTACGCATCGGTGTTTATTCTACCTTCCCGGCAGTAAATAAGACGCATTTTGGACATTTATTATCATCTTTTTCCGTCATTACTCGACAGTGTTAAAAGTGTTGTGATTATTTTTTTGGAAAAACAAAAACCGATTGCAAAAATGATGACCAGAAACCGATCGAATAAGGTAAAAATAAATATATGTCTCATACATTTGTATCACTTGTAGAATCTCACTCTCTCGACAAATAAATTGTAATGCATGACGCGCTGATATTGACTTAACCATTGAATTATTCAATCTAGTCATAATTCACGCACACAAAATTGAAATTATCGCGTTGATTGCACTCCGCTCAACGATGAATAAAAGATGGTGATTTAGAGAGAGTTTGATCAGTTTGAATTTTGTGCGGGCTACTTCGATCTGAGCTTAGGAAACAGAACAAAAAAAAGTTGTTGCCCATTGTTCATTTTCATTTCATTTTCAGTTGAACGGCGATGCACCACAGAATGCGAACGTCGAAACATCAGACAGCAAGAATGGTAAAGCGACAAAAAGAACTCCGACCAGCAAAGCATCGGAGAGTCCAAGTGCAAAGGTTTCGAAAAAAGCGAGCCCACAGGCTTTGGACAATCCAGTAATTGATGCAAAATCCGTATACGATTTCACTATGAAGGATACGTTCGGCAAAGACGTACCATTATCCAAATATAAGGGAAAGGTTTTGCTCATCGTGAACATTGCTTCGAAATGTGGATACACAAAGAAAAACTACGATGAATTGAACACATTGCAAGAACAGTACAAGAATAAAGGTAAGTACTACGGCGATGTGGTTCCCCGATAGGAAAAGAGATGAATTACTTGATACTATATTCCACTGATTATTTTTTTCTGCAGATTTCCAAATTCTATCGTTCCCATGCAACCAATTTGGTAGTCAAATGCCGCAGAAGGATGGCGAAGATATGATGTGTCATTTGGAGAAGCGAAATGTCAAAGTTGGCGATGTGTTCCAGAAAATCGATGTGAATGGAAAGAATGCAGCTGCGTTGTACACGTATTTAAGGCAAAAACAAGGTGACGGTGCCAATGTTAAGTGGAATTTTGTCAAGTTTTTAGTTGACAAAAAGGGACAACCCGTTGAACGCTTGGGTTCATCCACTTCACCACTTCAAATCGTTCCAAAAATTGATAAACTCCTCGCTGAATAAGTTACACATGGATGTATGTGCGGTTTTTTTCTTCGAACTGTTGTTTACGATTTTTTTCAATTTTTATTTGCTACAGATTAACTAGAATCTTCTTATTTCATCTTTGAATCACTCGTTTTCATTATGCATAACAGAGGAAGCACAAATAAAATCACCGAAAAACGCCAAAATTGACAATGTTTTATTTCTATATATGTTTTCAAGTTCTGACTGCTCATTGAGCAATCATATTTCTAAAAAAAAAAGGAAAGGAAATCAGAACACGTTCCTTTTTCTTGCATAAATATCAGTTTTTTTTTTATTTAATCTTTTAATAATAATTTGCCATAGTCAAACCGATTATTCTAACTGCTATTTGCTATTTGTTCAGAATTTCGTGGTAAAATAGTTTTCTTTTCGTAGCGATCGATATCAGTTGTTGTAATTCATCATTGAAGCATTTATGCTCGTTTGTACTTTACTTCTTTATTGTGTTTTTTTTTTGTGTTTGCGTTTATGTAATATATATTTCTACAAGTCGGCAACTCTGTATATTAATTTAAATCGTAGATGTTTTGGTTGTTTTTGTATAAAAAAAAAACTCTTGTTATTCTGGAAAAGTATGTTGATGGAATGTATGTTGTCTGTTTGGTTTGTAGGTTGGCTTGTAATCTAGGAAACACATTGGAATTGTATGGGCGATTTTATTATTTGTGATCGATTAGAAGTAAATCAATGGCAACAGAGCAACATAGCTTTGCGCTAAAGCGAAACACAAATATACAATAGCTTGATTGAATAATGGGTATATATATATATACTAAAATTGCCACAATATCGATAATAGAAGTACATCGATTGTTTTGTCCTTTATTTCCATTGCAGAATGTCAAAATTTCTATTACGCAAATTATAAGCTTATGACTACCTAAACCTATTCATTACATTACTAGTTGTATACTGAAAAGGAGTCTTTTTTTGCTTGAGGATCTCTTTGTATCATTTTATAAGATGGTTTCCAGGCGGAAGATAACGCAATAGAAGCTGGTGTTTCGTCAACATTTGTAACGGCTTCAAGATTTGCTCCCATTCCGTTATGCAGTTGATTATTGTTGTGATCACAACTTTCCGAGAAAAAAAAAATTATTCAAATTTATAGCTAGACAATTGCATTTTCGGTTGAATACCTACAATAAAGTTATTCTGATTTAGCATTTGTTTAGCATTTTGCTTTTTCATCTTCACCTATGTCTCTGTATAAAAGTATATTTAAACTTTATTCATTTATAAAAATATATGTTACTTGTTACCCTTCAATAGCTTCTAATTACAAAACATATTTGTCATTGTTGTTCTCAAAATTTTTTGCTTTTTCTATCTTGGATAAGACTTTTTCTGCGTTTCTGCACATATTTTAAACCAGTATGGAGTTTTCTTTTTTTTTATAAGGTATTCATTATTCAATTACGTTTTTTTTAAAGTGGCGAAAGTTTGTGTGTTTTCTTTTCAAATCCCTAAACTATATGGGTGTTTGTTGGAAACTAGATTTGGATCATATTCTCAAAAGATGAAAAAAAAACGCTGCTTGTCGCGACAAGCAAAAAGATCATCAAAAACTACTTCAAGTATTATTGCCGAACGAAATACGTATTACTTAAATTTTACAACCTATATGTAGTCACACATAAAAAGATTCTAAAGCCTATGGGGTATGTATATGTTTTCACGATTTTGTATATGAAAAATAAAACGAAAAATACAAATCAGCAAAGAAAGCGAACGTTTAAAAAATCACATGTAAATAAAAAGAAATAATGGATCATCATAGTACAAAGATCGAATGGCATCAAAAATGAAAAATAATTAGCAAAAATTCATTGCATGAGTTTCTTGTAAAATTGTGTAAGACTCATATTCATATTCTAGTATTTAAAAAGACTTCTGGCGCTCATTTTGGCATGAAACCCATCATCATCATCATCATCATCATAATCAATTAAATCCCATTTCGATCATTTTAAATCTCCAATTGAGAGCAAAAATCACATAATCAAAACAAAAACAACGAATCACAAATAAAACCAGTTCAATTCATTTAAAATGATAATTGCTTTTCATCAGTTTGACTGATTTAAAGTGTTGAATGAATTATTTAATTGAAAAATAATAATAAACTTAAGATAATAATATAAATAAACATATTCGTTGACAATCGATAAACTAATTCGATCATGTAAAAAGAAAGTAAAAGATGCAACGATGAGATCTGAAAGCACAAAATGTTTCTAACGCATCCAAAATCGATGGAGTATCAAAGTGTCATCAATTTTACCAGAAGTCTTTGTAGGAAGATCAGGAAGACGAATTTTGTGCCTGCCTGCCGTTTGTGGTTGTGGTTGCCGAAACAGTTGTAGCCGGAGCCGCTGGCTGCGACTGCGCTGATACTTCGGATTTTACTCGTCTAGCAATGTGGGATCGCGTGTGTTTGCGCAAATGGTCCTTTCGATAAAATCCTGTTTGCAAAATTCATTTATGAATTGAAGAAATGTTTAACTTGTCAAATTTTATGGAATCAATCAATTATCCTGCTTAGATTGTAATTTACCTTTGCCGCATTCTTGGCAAACATGTTTCTTTTCGCCCGAATGGATGACGATGTGCAAAGTGAGCTGCTCCTTTCGTTTGAAGGATTTCATGCAAATCTGTCATAAATCCAAAAAAAAAGCATTAGTCTCAACTTGAATTGTTAGGATTCTATTATGATATAAATCATAACTTACGTTGCAAACATGCGGTCTATCTGGAATGTGCGACAATTTGTGGCGTGTCAAGTGATCTTTGCGCTTAAGAGCTGCATTACAAATATCGCACACAAAACGCCGTTCGACGGCATGCGAAATGACGTGTTGCTCGATTAAACTACGATCTGGGTAAGCCATTTGGCATTCGGGACAGCAATACAACGTGGATCCATCGAGTGCTTTAGTTTCACGTATCTCACCCGGTTTTGGTCGTGGTTTCTTCTCTTTTGGTGCTTTCTTCTTCTTCTTCTTGCCATTGCTTACCGCAGTCGTTGTAGTTGCAACACTGTCAATAATTTCGGCTGCATGATTCGACACGTTGTTCGTGTTGTTCGCCGCTGTTGCCGCATTTGATGAATTCGAAATGCTGTTCGATGTGTGATGTTGGTGGTGAGAATGCATTGCGTTTACTTGATTCAGAGCCAGATTCAAATTTGGGCTGATGCCGTTCTTCAGTCCACCTAATAAATCAGATTTCAAAATGAAACCATTGCCAACATTTTAAACCATTCACATCCATACCGCTTAAGTTTAAGTTTGCCGAACTCATCGAATTATTTATGCTCGACAAATTACCATTTAATCCATTGCTGGTCGATCCATTGCCAATGGTGCTGTTGTTCAGAGCAGACGACTCCTTTTTGATAGATTCAGAATACTTGAGAAAATGCTGTATGGAAATGGGCAGCGTGGCCGACAACAAATGAGACGAATAATCCACTGTGTTCGATGGATTGGCCAATGTTTGCCATGATTGATTAACATTTTGCAATATTTGTTGGTTGATAGCTGATGAATGAAATAGAATCAAATCAAATAAATTTAGGTTGATTTTATTCGATATCAGGCAGTTGTTTCCGAAGTGCATTATTACCATCTTCACGATCTCGTTCAATCTTCGTTTTCAGCGCATCTTTGTGATCGTTGCTAAACATATTATTATGCTCACCTTGCGGCTGGTTATAAGCATTCGAAAGATTCTGCCCATATTGCATAGCTGAGCCTAATATTCATTGATCAACAAAAACAACAGGGGAAAAAGAAGAAAAAAAAAGAAATCAATTGAAAAATCGACGAAGAATTGGATTTTTCTCAAAATTCCGACAACACCACATTTTCAATGGGAAACATAACCAATTTTCAACTTAGTAAGCAAAATTGCATTTACTATTGTACAGGCGACAACAACAACAACAACAATAAAAATCGATAAACCGCCATGACCATTGTAGTGATGATTGTGCGCCAGTGACGCGTACGATTCCAAGCGACATTATACCAATATTTTACTTATATTTCATGCATTTCTATTCGTTTTTTTCGGTATGAAAATGTAAATTGTACATTTACACTGTTTTCGATTTGATGTTGAATTTGAAATGATTGCAAATTTACCTGAGGTAGAATTTTGATTGAAGTGATTTGTAGTTGTGTGATAGCGGTTGCCATGCACATCCTGAGAATTCATGCCTGATGTAGCCGATGAAAATGGTCCACTTTGTGTGTCATGACCAAATTTTGCGGCAAATTGATGAATGCCAGAGAATGGGCCACCAAATGCGGAAAAATTCATTATTTACCGATGAAACGAACGTAAAAGGGAATTGTAACGTAAACTTTATGGGCCGCCCAACAAGAGAGACAAAAGAAAAAAATCACTCTTTTGGACGTCGTACTGTTACACCACACGAAAATACAAAGTAAACACCAATCAAAATGGCCCAATATAAATTTCAAAATAAACAAAATTAACTGAAACTTAAGAAGAAATCTCAAATGATTGCACAATTTCGATTGATTTTTTTTGTTTAATCCAACTAAAATATTTTCTAATTAGAAACAAATTCGCAAAACTGAGGAAGATGAATAGAATTACGTTGATTCACTGATTCACTCAGCACTCTAATACATTTTCCGCTTTCGTCTTTCTCTGTTTATAAGGAAGAAATAGAATGATTTTCAATAGGAAGCGACACATACACACGTACTTTATGTGTACATGTGAGCTCACACATTGACACCCTCACACATATACACGCACACATTCGTATCGAAAGCGTACAACGAAGCCATAGTATTAGTAACTAAGGGAAGCGGTGAATTCATTTGCATTCAGCGAGGGTTGCTTATGCACATATGTGCTTTATCCAAACTGTAAATATTAGTCTAGAGGAGAAATCATAGCCGTATATAGCCGTACATAGGGTGTTCTGAATGTAACACTTGCTTAAAACATGGATATGAACGAGAGTGAAAACCTAGAATATTTTATGAAGGGGCATCAAATTCCACAATACAATCTCAAATCTGAAAATGAACGAAAACTAATACTGGAAAAAAGAGTTTATCGAAAAAGACATTAAAAAAAAAAAACAGATATAAAACGTATGAAAATCGAACCATGCAAATGGAGAAAATTGTCGTCTTTGGAACTTTTGCTTTTATTCTTGCATTTACATACAATAATTTGTAATTTTCCATATTGACAAACTAATTCAACGTAGTTTCCTATCGATCAACAAATAATTTTCAATAGCTAGAAAAAAAAAACAATTTTCAATAGCTTTTCTCGGAGCGAAAATTCAAAACATTTCATTTGAAATCGTTTGAATGATTTTGTCCCAAAATGCCGATTGTGCTGCTTGGGTTTAGTAGTACTGTCAATGTCCGCGGAGACTGTCGCACATGGCGTCTCTATACGTTGTGTGACGTTTTGATGTTCTTCGTGGGTATTTCACAAACGAATGCAACTAGCGTTTGATATGTGTTCTTTGCTTGTTGCTGTGTCAAAATTAAGAGGGAAAGACTTTTTAACAAATCGCAAATAACGAAAATATTGATTGTGTTTTTATAATTGTACTAATTTTCACGGCAGAGTGTTTTTTCCATCGGAAATTTAAAAATTGAACGATTACAACGCAATTTTGTTGAAAGTTTTCTGATTCTGTAAACCATGAACTGTGATAATTGATGAGCTGATTTCTGAAACTGATTTTTTTTTAATTGTGGAATGAGGTTATGTTATTTGGAATGTATGAATTTTCCTACATAAACAAGAAAATACATGTTTTAAAAGTGGAAACAGTGTTATTTAAGTGAAAACATTCAGAACACACACAAAGAAAAAGAAATTAGTGTGAATAGAAAAAGGAAACACAATGAGTTTTGAACGTGCAAACACTAGTTCAAATGACCTACCAATTGCCGAATCAACACAAATCGAAAAAATAGCAAAAACTCCGCTGAGAAGGTGAATTTGTATTTATGTTTCATTCGAGTTTTTTTTTTGTTCAATTGTAGTTACCATCTTTTCGATCAAGATAGAAAATGATTCAAATCGTTGATTTTGTTTATTTCAGATTGAAATTAAGCCTGGCCAATCGATTGGGTTTCAGCAGCAAACCGAATAGCCCAAAAGAAACTCCGCCATCAAAACGGAATTCCATCAATTCGCCAACACTGAGTAAACTTGATCCCAAAGTTTATTTAGACACGCAAAGCAATGGCTTTGCATCACGTGTTGTAAAATATCATGAAGCAAGTGAGGCCAAAGGTCGTGAAATTGCTAGCAAAGCGTATCGCCGACCAGGCGACTTTCCCATCGTGAACCTTGACAAGAGTGAAATCAACTTGAATCAAAAGCAAGCAAATGCACCGAAGGTGTCGAAAATTAACATTGCACCGCCAATAAATCTGGTCAGTGCATCAAATGCATCGGCACGTTCGGCGATATTTCGAACGGGAAAAAATTATGGTGATTCGTATCCGATTGGGAAATTAGGCCCTATCGAAGGCAGAAAACCGATCAAAGCAACATTGCCGCAAGACGAACCGATTGTCCCCACAAGCAACGACTATGACAGCGCTCCAATTCGCAGTTCATTGGAGGCATTGAAAGAAATTTCACGAAAACGGATCCATTGTGATGTGAGTTTTATTTACACCAAAAGCCGTAACAAGGAATTTCATTGTATCCACTTATTGCAGGAAATCGACGGCGATACAAATAAAAAGCAACGAGGAGATGCTCTGAATGATTATGATCAAAACAATGCACAAGCAGTCAATTCATCGAAGCGAACCAGAGATCGTACCTCACCCACATATTGCAGGTAAGAAAACATTTTCGTTGTTCCTTGTAGAACAATGGAAGAAAGTTCTTTGCAGAATTAACACAACTTATTCCATTTTCTTACAGTTCAACGGCCGAAGTGCAGAAGAAGCGATACAAAAACAACGATATACTCAGCTCGTTGAGTTCGAGTATTTTAGTAAATACACCTAAACGAAGCCAACTCAGTGGAGATGCAACACCAACGAAAGTTCTTCGTCCCGAGCTCAATTACAATAGAAAAGATGCAAATCAAAATGCATCAAGTGACAATTATGCTGGCAACAAGAGGGCAGCCGAATCAAGTCGTGTTGGCACAAGTAACAGTGATTTACCGCTTCATCGTCCATCAGAACAAATTAAACCGGTTATAAAATCTATGTCGGATGGCTATGTACCACCAGCAAGTCAGCCAACGACAAAAACAAACAAACTAACGCTGTTCAACAAAGTCTATAGTGCTGCTCCATCCGCAAGTGAAAAGAAAAAAGTGATAGACGACGATGAAGACAATTCGATATCGTTTGTTAAGCCAAAAGTGAAAACGTCGACCATTTTTGGTGCCAACAAAAATCGAGATCAAAAATCGAAACTGGCGATGATGTTGAGCTTTTTGCGCGGAGATGAATCAAAAGATGAAGTGGATAGTGTCCGAAAGCCTTCGATTGGTGTCGAAAAATCTGACCAAAAAGAAGAAACAAAAACTAGTATCGCATCAACGTCGGCTAATCTGAGTACAATCACTTCGGTCACATTCAGTACAGCGACCACGACATCTC